ATGTCGGGCTTCTCGAAGGCGGCGCAGACGCCCTTGGCGCACATCTTGGGCGCGTCGGCGGACGAGCACGACGCGCAGGCGGCGGCGCAGCCCGCCTCGAACTTGAGGCCCGCGACGTCCTCGCACGAGACGTCGACGGTCGGCGTGACGACGATGGCGAAGGACAGCGCGCCCGACGCGTCGGCCTCGGCGCAGCGGAACTCGCTGAGCGTGCCCGACGCCGGGGCGCAGGTCATGGGGCCGTTCGGCGACGAGCAGGCGCCGCAGGTCTTCTCGCAGACGCCCTCGTCCGTGAAGACGACGTCGTCGACGGCCACGAACTCCCCGGAGCCCCCGACGAGGCCCCCGCAGTTCAGGGTCACGGCCCGGGCGGCCCCGGCGAGGCACAGCAGGGCGAAGGTCCGCATGGCCGTCCCCCCCCCCCGTCGCGAGACGTCGACGAACAGCAGCAGCCGAGATCCCGCGGGGCTGCCCTGAATAGGATCAGGATGAGATGCGTAGATGTTGCGGTGCACATTGATCATTCACAATCAATCACAGCTCAGCGCTAACATGGTGGTCGAGCCGTCGAGAAGAAGGCGATGATGCGAGTCTAGGCCCGCGGCATGGGGAACAACGCGTCGGCGCCGCGGGCGCCCCTGGAGACGCTGGACGCGGCCGGCGTGCACGCGCTCGTGTCGTCCCTCGGCGCCGCGTCGGCCGACGTCGCCGACAAGCTGCGGGCCATTGACGTCGACGGCGCGTACCTGTTCCACATCTCGGACGCGGACCTCGAGGGCACGCTCGACGACCTCGGCGTGACGCCGCTCCAGCGGCGCTTCCTCGCGGCGAAGCTCCGCGGCGCGCTCGGCCGGCCGCCGCCGTCGCCGCTCGTCGGCCGCGACCGCGAGGTGTCCAAGGCGCCGCCGCCGCCGACGGGCGGCCTGGGCCCGCGGACGTCGCGCATGCACTGGGGGCGGACCACGGCGCGCGCCCTGCACCACCGCGAGGACCTGCAGCGCGCCGAGGCGACGTCGGAGGCGGGGCGGGAAAAGAGAGCGACATGCCCAACGTAAAGGCTCCTCTCTCGGCCGTTTCCCACTCGTTTCGGCCGATTTTTGGACGAGCGATCATCTCTCGGAACGGTCTCGAAGCGTGGATGCTTTTTCCGGAACGCGCGCGCGCGGAACGCTCAAATTGAAGCGAACTTGAATCACCCTGTTCCCGCCCAGGTCGGAGGAGTTCCTCGCGGAGTTCCGGAGCCGCGTCCGCGCGGCCGCCGTCCAGCTCGCCGCGGGCGGCAGCCCCCCGGGCCGCCGGGCCGCGTCGGCGCGCGTCGCGGACGTCCTGGCCCGCGTCGGCCGCGACGCGCCCGGCGCGCTCGTCGACGAGGCGCTCGCGGCGCGCGGCGTCGCCGCGGGCGCGGCCGTCGACGTCGAGGCGCTCGTGGACCTCGTCATCGTCGTCGAGGAGCGGCGCACGGCGGGCATCCTCGAGTCGGGCCGGCGCGAGTGCGCGGAGCTGCTCGAGGTCTCCGGCGGCGAGGACTTCGTGCGCGTCGTCGGCGAGGAGGACAACGAGCCCTGCTGCGGCTTCAAGATCTTCGACCCGGACCACCCGCTCATCGAGAACTTCGAGCTCTTGATCATTTCATCCTCATCTTCGTCTTCGTCACGCTGCCGCTCTGCCTCGCCTTCGAGCGCGTCGAGCGCCAGCTCGCCGACGCGAATTTCGTGTGCGACCTCATCTTCTGCGTCGACGTGCTGAAGAATTGCAACACGGGCTACGCCGACGACACGGCCGCCATCGTCATGGACCGGCGGCGCGTGCTCAAGAACTACCTGCGGACCTGGTTCTTCATCGACTTTGTTTCGTCGGTCCCCGCGGATCGGATCATGGACGCGGTCGCGGGCGACGGCGAGCGCGGCGGCGACGTCGTCGGCGGCAAGAAGGTGCTCAAGCTGCTGCGCCTCGTGCGCATGACGAAGCTCGTCAAGCTGCTGCGGGCGTCGCAGCTCGTCAAGCAGGTCCGCGACACGTTCGTCGAGACCATCGAGTACTACAAGATCCACGTGTCCGACGCGACGCTCAAGCTGATCCGCCTCTTCCTCACCATGCTCACGCTGTCCCACTGGGGCTCCTGCCTCATGTTCATCCTGCTCAAGGCCTACGACTACCCCGCGGAGTCCTGGGCCGCGCGCTGGGACATCGTCGAGGCGGAGACGGGGTCGCCCGTCTACGGCGTGCTCCACTGCTACTCCTGGGGCATCTACAAGACGCTGCTGCTCGTGCTCAACTGCGCCTACGCCGACTTCCCGTCGGCCCAGGTCTGCTTCGAGACGTCGGGCTGGTGCACGATCGAGTCGTGGATGACGCTCGTCGGCGTCTTTTTGGGCTGGTTCCTCAACATGATCTTCATCTCGACGATCACGTCCATCCTCGTGTCCATGGACGTGTCCACCCAGGAGTTCGAGGAGCAGATCCAGCGGACGAACGACTACATGCGGGGCCTGCGGCTGCCGACGGAGCTCCGGGACCGCATCCGCGACTACTACTACCAGCGGTGGAAGGAGGGCTCCATCTTCGACGAGACGCTCATTTTGGAGCGCCTCAGCCCCGAGCTCTGCCACGAGATCATGCGCTACAAGACCCGGGACCTCGTGAAGAAGGTGCCCGCGCTCCGCAACGCGACGACGATGTTCATGAAGGAGCTCGTGTCGTCGCTCCAGCCGTCCGCCGCGCCCGAGGGCGACGTCGTCGTCCACGAGGGCGAGACGGGCGAGTCGCTCTTCTTCGTCGACGCGGGCCTCGCGGAGATCCTGGCCAAGGCCGTCGGCGACCAGGTCGTGAAGCTCATCGCCGACGGCTGCTTCTTCGGCGAGTGCTCGCTCGTGCTCAAGTGCCGGTGCACGGCGACGGTCCGCGCGAAGACCGTCCTGTCCTGCTACGCCGTGGGCGACGAGGACCTGGACGAGATCCTGGAGGACCACGCGGACATGCGCGAGTACCTCGGTGCCGTCGCGCGGAAGCGCGCGGGCCGCCTCGCGCGGCTCCACCTCAGCGCGCGGCTCGGCGGCACGGACGAGACGGCGAACTCGAGGACGAGGAGGACGCGGCGACGCCCCTCTTCCTGTCGCTGGCGGCGAAGCGGCGGCAGAAGCTGCTCGAGGGCGAGCACCGCGGCATCCGCCACTCGCTGGTCAGGGCCTACGGCCGCGCGTCCGCGGTCTTCGCGGGCGGACAACCCGCGGTCCACCGCGCCAAGGCCGAGCTCCGCGTCGCCGCGGAGCCCAAGGGCGGCGGCGGGAGGCAGAGCAAGGTCGTCGTCGTCGGCGCGTCCGGGGGCTTCGACGCGCTCCGGGACGACGACGACGACGGCGGCGCCGCGGCCGCCGTCGCGCCCGCCGCGATGGGGAGCCCGCCGCGGATCAAGCCCGCGATGGGGAGCCCGCGGCCGGGCAAGGTCACGCTGCCGGCCATCGGCGAGGCGGCCTCGGTGAGGACCCTCGACGACGGCGTGGTGCAGCTCGAGTAGTAATTCGAAGCGCGCGCCTAGCTCCGCCGCCGCGCGGTAGGCGCGGGGGCCGCGCCGGAGGTCCGCCGCGAGCGCCGCCCAGCGACCCGCGGGGGACGGCGCGGCCGGCGGCGGCGCCGCGGCCTCCGCCGCGGCCTCCGGGCGCGCGCGCGCGGGCTCCGGCGCGGCGGGGTCCGCCTCCGGCGCCGGCTCGCGGTCGGCGGCGAGGAGCGGGTCCGGGGCTCCCCGGAGCGGGTCCGGGGGGGGTTCGGCGGCGACGGGCGCCGCCGCGGGCGCCGCGGGCGCCTCGATGGCGAAGGGTGCGCGCCGCCGGGGCTCCGGCCCGCGGGCGCAGGCCGCCGCGTCGGCGCGGCGCCCCCGCGGCGGCGCCGGCACGCGTTTCCGCCGGTCCGCGAGCTCCGCGAGCCGCGCGGCCGCGGCGTCGAGGCCCTCCGGCGACCGCGCGGCCTGCCACGCGCGGACGACCGCGCGCGCGACGGCCGCCGGGTCCCGGAGCCCGACGTCGCGCTGGCTCCTCCGGAACGCCGTGCCCGTGGACGCGACGCCCCGCGTCAGCGGCACGTGCCGCTGGAGCGCGAGCTCCGCGACGCGCGCGTATTCGACGGCCGCGCCGCGCCGCGCGTAGTGGCTCGGCAGCAGCTCGAGGAGACACGCCCCGACGGGCGCGAAGAGCGCGACGTTGCCGTTCTGCGCGCCGTGGGGGCCGACGACGACGGACGCGTTCGCGAGCGCGGCCGCGACGGCGGCGGCGCCCGCGCGCGTCGTCAGCGCGACGACGTCCGGCGCGCCGTCCGACTCGCCCCTCCGCGCGAGCTTTTGGAACATGCGCCGCGCGACGACCACGACCTCGCGCGCGTGCTTGGGCTCGAGCACGCGGCCGTCGTCGGGCTCGCGGTTGAGGAGGACGACGGACCCCCGGGACGCCGGCGCCGCCGAGCCCGCGGCGAGCCGGTCCACGGGGAACGCACCCGGCGCCACGGCGCGCCGCAGCGCCTCGACGAAGCCGTCGTAGGCGGCCTTGCGCGCGTCGTCGTCGAAGGCGGCGTCGACCTTCTGCCTCGGGCGCGCGCCCTTGCCTTTCGCGTAGTGCGCCGAGTCCCAGCCGCGGCGGCCGCCCGCGCCGCCGACGAGCGCGCGCGCGAGCCGCAGCCAGCGGAACTCCGGCGGGAGGTCGAGGCCCGGCGCCGCGTCGTGGCCCACCCAGGCGTGGGCCGTGACGACTCCGCGGGCCGCCGTCGACGCGTGCGCGTACGCGCCACCGCACGACACGTGCGGCGCGAGCTCCCGGAAGCCGCCGCCGACCTGGGCGGGGAACAAACACACGCCGTCTCAAAGGGACTCGCCGAGAGCAAACGATCCGTCCAAAAATCAGCCGAAACGACTGCGATGTGACCGAGTTCTGAAGTTGGGATCACCCAGCTCGCCGTTCGAGTTCCACGCCGCCGCCGACCTGCTCCGTGAACCAGAGCGCGTACTGGGCCCTGTCGAAGTCCCAGGATCCCGCGTCCTCCGCCGCCGTCCAGTAGAGCGGGAAGAGCTCGTCCTGGAGCCAGTGCGCGAAACAGGGGTGGAACCGGGCGGTCACGAGCGCCGTCGGCGCGAGCTCGAGGACCTCGCCCTCGAAGCCCGGCAGCGCGTCGACGACCGTGGGGGCGTAGACGTTGTAGGCGTCCCAGGGCAGCGAGCAGGCGCAGAGCTCTTCGTCCGCCGTCGGCGACAGGTAGTGGAGCTTTCGCGTCTCCCGGTCGAAGTAGAGGTCGCCGTAGACGCAGCTCCGACTCAGGGCCCAGGAGTCGCAGAAGCCGGCGTAGCTGCCCCGGTCGCCGGTGAGCCCCTCGGGCCGCCGCATCCAGGCCACGCACCTGTCCCCGAAGGCCTCGCGCGGCGACGCGCCGCAGTCGCGCGACTCCGCGCAGCGCTCGTCCTCGGAGCAGCGGACGCTCGACGGCGTCGCGGGGCCCCGCACGACGCGCCAGGCGCCCGTCGCGTTGAGCCAGCGGCCGTCGGACGGCCCGCACCCGGGGTCCGCCGCGACGACAGGGGCGCTGCGTATCGGTTTCCGGGGGGCGCTCCTCGTGGTCTTTGTGGCCTGGCGCTGCTTGGCGATCTCGCGCACCATCGCCGCCGCCGTCGTCCTCGGCGGCCGCCGCCGGCCGGGCCGCTGCAGCCGCAGCGGCGCGGCGCCCACGGCCGCGAGCGCGAGCACGACGCACAAAGCTGCGTTCATGACGAGCTGACGAGCTCTTTGGGCAGCCCATCGAACCGCCGGCAAGTTGCGGGGCAACCACTACTTCAACCACCGTGTTTGCAGTCACCCATGCAGCCACCGCTGAGTGCGCTGCAGTGCAGCGTGTACTTCAAGGTAAAATCGCGACCACAGAACGAACGGCGGTTTAAGACGGGCGACTACGACGACGACGCGGCGGCCGCGTGGTTCTCCGAGGCGACCGTGTCCTCGTCGTACTCGCCGAGGACGGCCTCGAGGCCCTCGAAGGACACGGAGCCCCAGCCCGTGACGGGGTCCCAGGACTTGGACGCGTAGAAGCCCTCGTCGCAGCAGAGGCCGGCGTCCGTGCACTTGTTGTCGCCCTGGACGATGTCGTAGGCGAACGCGCCCCGGGACCGGTAGAGCGTCGGGTTGAGGAAGCCGACGGGCGGCTTGCCCTCGGCGAGGCGGTCCGCGTTGATGCGGCCGACCATGCCGGCCACGGACGGCGACGAGCACGACGTGCCGCAGACGATGTAGAGCAAGCCGCCGATGACGACCTCGTAGCCCCAGCCCGACAGCGACAGGTCCGGGTAGCCCCGGCCCTGCTCCGCGAAGCCCTCGTAGGGCTTCTCCGCGGCGTTCAAATTCGCAAAGTAGGCCTGGACGGCGCCCTGGTTCCAGGACGGCGACGCGAAGGCGCCGCTGAAGCCGCCGCCGCTGGTAATGACGCCGTCGAACTTGTCGCTCTGGCAGACGACCTCGTTGGGGAAGCCCGGCTCGCCGTCCCAGTCGTGCGCGAAGGTCGCGCCGACGGCCGTCACGTAGGGCGACGTCGCCGGGTAGGACGGCATGTAGGCGCAGCCCAGGTAGGAGTTCGCGCCGTCGTCGCCGGAGCTCACGAACACCGTGGAGCCCATGAGGCCGATCTTCGCGACCTCCGCGTTGAAGGCCTCCATGACCTTGAGCGGGTTCGCGGGCTCGATGGAGCCCCAGGAGATGGACGACACGAGGATGGGGTGCTCCATGTCCGCGATGTCCATCGCGTACTTGAGGAACGGGTCGTACGACGAGTCCTCCGTGACGTAGAAGTACGTCGTCGGGCTGTAGGGGTTCGCCGCCGTCATGTACTGGATATCGAGATTCGCCTCGGCGCAGAAGCTCGACCCGAGCACGGGGATGTCGCAGGTCGACGACAGGTCGTGCGCGCCGACGTCGGACAGCGGCGTCGCCGCCGGCTTCGCGAGTCCGAAGTAGGACCGGAACTCCTCGAGGTCGTCGGGCGAGTAGTTCTGGGACGCCGTCTCGAAGACGGCCTGGGACGACGCGGCCTTGCCCGTGGGCGCGGCGTCCGCCGACGAGTAGTTCTTCCGCGCGGCGTCCGCGTCGAGCGGGATGCCGTAGAAATTCGCCAGGACGCTCGGCGTGAAGTACTCGCTCGACGAGCTGTCCGCCGAGGCGCCCTGGTCCTCGCGCAGGCGCACGTCGCCGATCTCCTGGACGACGCGCGGCGCGGACCAGGTCTTCGCCGGCAGCTCGGACGCGCGGAAGACCGCGTGGATGCTGTCGTGGACGCGCTCGGGCAGCGAGTACGCGCCCGCGCAGCGGTGCGTCTCGCTGGCGCCGTCCGTGTAGATCGCAAAGTCGCAGCCCAGGGCCGTCGTCCAGACGCCCAAAGGGGCCACCGCCGTGATGTACTCGCCGTTTTTCGTGGTGCGCACGACGCGCGCGCCGACGTCCGACAGCCAGCTCTTCACCGCCGCGACGTGCGCCGCGTTGTCCAGGAGCTCGCCGACCATGGCGTGGGTCCAGTACTTGCGGTAGTTGGCAGAACCGGGCGAGGACACCTTCATGAGCTCCGCGTCGAGTTTTTGCATGTCGGCCTGCTTCGTCGCGACCACAATCTCGTGCTCCGCGCAGGCGTCGGTGGACGGGCCGAGTTTGGCCCAGTGTTCGGGCTTGTGGTCCTCCGTTGAGCGGACGACGACGACCTCGTCGCGCAGGCTCGAGATGGGACTCGCGCACGCGGCGGTGGCCGACGCGACGAGGCGCGCGGCGGCGCGCTCCTTTGTCTCAAACAAACCCGCCATGAATAGGCCCTCGACGGCTAAAACGCCGCCGATGATCACACCGGCTCGCCGCCAGCGGTTCGCCGGCGGCGCCGCGTCCGCGACGATGGAGCCGTAGGTCGCCGGCGCCATGCTGAGCAGCCCACGACGACCGAATATCAGGAACTTGAACCCGTTTCGAAAGACACATTCGGTGTTTGACTTTTTAATATGTGCATCGTTGACCTGCGTCGAGCCGGCGCTGGGCAGCGTCGTAGCTCGAGGAGCCGCCAGGCGACGCGAACTCCGCCTCGGAGACGCGGTCCAGCAGCCCCCAGGACTCGGCCAGCGCGGTCGGGCCTGCTCGTTCCGGCGCGTAGGCATGTCGATCGACGGCTGTTACCTCGGCGACATGTGGAACATGATCGACGACTCGGACAAGCAGAACTGGCACAGAACGGCAAACTCGGCAGCCCTTGAAGGAAACATGGAAGCGCTGCTGGAGATGTTCAACGCGCTCGGCGACGCGGCGACGAAAGAGATCCTCTGCGCGACGCTCGGGTCGCCGATCAACTCCGATCGATTCGGGAACACGCCGCTGATTAAAGCCGGCGACCACGCGGACGTCGTCGAGCTGCTGATCGCGCGCGGCGCGCCCGTCGACGCGGCGAACAACGACAGGAACACGGCGCTGCACCTCGCCGTCGGCCGCGGCGACGCGGCGACGGCCGCGCTGCTCTGCCGCGCAGGCGCGCGGCGCGACGTCGCCAACGCGGCGGGCGTCACGGCCGCGCGGCTCGCTGAGCAGTGCGGCTTCAGCCTGCCCGTGGAGCAGTGCGGCGTCCGCCTGCCGCCCGACGACGGGCCCGGGGAGACCGAGCCGGCGCTCGAGCCGGAGGCGCTCGAGCCGCAGCCGGAGCCCCGGGAGCCCGCGCCCTGGGAGCCCGAGCCCGAGCCTCCCGTCGCGTCCCCGCCCCGGGCGCGCCTCCCCTCGGGCACGGTCTTCGCCGAGGGCGAGCTGGAGGGCTTCGACGAGGCGGACCTCGCACTCATGGAGGAGCTAGCGGCGTAGGCGCCTAGCGCACGACGACGGTCGCGCGGAGCCGCGCGCGTCGCCCTAAGCTTACGCCGGGGAGACGAAGTAGGTGATCTCGGCGCCCGCGCCGCAGAGCCACGGCGTCCGCGACGCGTTCGCGGCGCCGGCGATGACGAGCGTCGTGCCGTTGATCGCGTAGGACACGGCGCAGCCGCTCCCCGTCGCGAGCACGCGCGGGTTGGCCACGGAGGACACGTCGACGGCCAGCGAAGCCGAGGCGGCGTCGAGCACGCCGACGTCCACGAGGACGGACAGGCCCATGGTGTAGTACTTGGTCGTGTCGGGCTTTCTTGCCTCCCTGAGGAGCACGGGCCTCAGAATGAGGACGATCGCGACGAGGGCGCTCAGGACGACGACGGTCCAGAAGAGTTGTGGTCGTGGGATCGGAGCGGCGCGGGGCTGTTCCCCGCCGCGGCGACTCGAGCTGCATCTCTGGGTCGGGCTGTGGGAATGCACGTCATCGTGGTTGACTTCACTGTCTACCTGTAAGCTTAGGGCGACGTGCGCGCGGCCGCGCCGAGCGGGTCACCCGGCGCGCGGCCCGGGCTCCGCGCGGCCGCGGCCGCGCCGAGCGGGTCCGCCGGCGCGGCGGGCGGCGGCGCCTCGCCGAGGACGGCGGCCGGGGACCCGCGCGCCGCGAGGATCTCCGCGATGGCGCCGCCCTCGTCGATGTTCGTCCGCGAGAGGCGCTTCGGCGCGCGCGGCGGCGGGTAGTTCGCGTGACGCGCGTGCGTCGCCGCGCAGCGCGCGCGCACGGCGTCGGCCATGGCCGCCGCGCCGAGGAATTCGCGATAGAAGAAGAACTTGGGCGCGACGGCGCACGCGGCGTGCGCCGTCGTCGCGTGCTCCCTCTTCTCCGCGGGCACCGCGGCGACGCCCAGCGCCGCGGCGACGGACGCGCGGCGCCGGTGCGTCGCCCGCGCGGCCTGGGCAGGACAAGAGAGATTCAACGTCGCTTCAACGTGAGTGTTCCGCGCGCGCGCGTTACGAAAAAAACATCCACGCTTCGAGACCGTTCCGAGAGATGATCGCTCGTCCAAAAATCAGCCGAAACGAGTGGAAAACGGCCGAGATATGAGGCTTTGAAGTTGGGAATTTCGCTCTCTTGTCCTGCCCTGCGCGCGGCCTCGGAGCTGCGGAGCTGGATCGTGTAGCCGCTGCCGCGCTTCGCGTAGGCGATCTCGTCGCCGCCGAGCCACCGCCGCGCCTCGTTCCGGCCGAAGATCTGCGTCGTCGCCGTGCCCTCGGCGAGCCGCGACGCCTCGAGGCGCCTAAAAAACGCGGACCGCCGCGCGCCCATGAGCGCCGCGACCTCGGCCTTCATGGCCGCGTCGCCGCAGGCCGGGCCCGCCAGCAGCAGCGCCTCGACGGCGTGGCGCACGGCGGACGCCGCGGACGCTTCCAGCAAATCCGCGGCGACGATGGTGCGCCGCTCGCGGTTCAGCGTCGCCCAGAAGTGCGTGTGGTGCGAGATCGTGCTCTCGACGCCCGCGCGGCGCTGGTGCGCGCGGTGCGCGCGGCTGTGCGTCTTCCGCTGCTCCAACGCGTGCTTCGCCTTGCTCTTCCGGAGCCGCCGCCGCACGTTCAGGATGGACTGCGACGGCGCGAGGCCGTCCTCGCCCCGGGGCAGGATGGACCCGCGGACCGCGGCGCCCGCGCGGCGGTGCCTCGCGAGCACGGCCATGAGGTACGTGCCCAGACCGCGCGGCCGCGACCGCTCGGGCACGGAGTCCTCCAACGCGACGCCGGGCGGGGCGTCGGCGGCGTGGAAGGCGGCGTCGGCGGCGATCTCGCACTCGGCCCGCAGCCAGAGCGCCATGAGGATGTCGGACCGCGCCTGGAGGCAGCCGAGCCAGCGGCGGACGAGGCGCTGCATGAGGCGCACGCGGCGCCGGAAGCGGCCGATCATGTTCGAGAGGCGGTTGTTGTTGTCCCGGAATAATAATAACACGTGGCGCAGCCGGTCGACGGCGTGGCGGCGCCGCCAGCGCCGCGCGCCCTCCACGAAGGACCGCTTCGCGCGGAGCTTCGACAGCACGGCGCCGTAGCGCGCCGCGTGCCGCGTCAGCATGCGGAACCGCAGCCAGGCGGCCAGCAGACTCGCGGCGCCGTTGTCGCGGCGCCGCGCGCGCTCCGCGGCAAAGGTTGCGCCGATTCGCGCCGCGAAGCGCGCGGCCGCGAGCGCCGGTAGGAGCGCTCTCCCGACGCGGAGCGCCTCGCGCGCTCCCTCCCAGCGGTCCGTCATCTCCGTCTTGCGGCGGATGCGGCCGAGCACGCGGCTCTGCTCGAGCGCGACGGCCGACGCGCGCCGCATCCGCGCCTCGCGGACGCGCGCGTCGGACGCGCGCGGCGTCCCCGCGGGCGTGCTCGGCGGCGGCGTCGGCCGGTCGCCGGCGAAGGACTGGCGCGGCGAGCTCGCCCGCGAGCTCGGCCGGCTCCGCGGCGGCGGCGGCGGCGGCGGCGGGCGGCGGCGCACCGGGGGCGTCCGCGGCGTCCGGTCGTCGACGGCGCGCTTGATTTGCCAGAAGGTCCTCCTTGCGTGCGAAGTGGGCGGGCGGAAGAACGCGCGACCGTCGCACTCGTCGTAGACCTTGACGCGGCCCTTGCGGTCCACGACGACGCGCGGGCCCGGTCGCCGCGGCCGCGCCTTGCCCGGCGCGCTCGCCGGCGGCCGGCCCGGCCGCAGGCGCGACAGCGTCGGCGAGTGGAGCGAGCCCGATCCCCGGAGCCACTCCGGCGGGTGGCTCGTGATGAGCGGGCTCACCCAGGGCGCGAACGCGACCCAGTGGCCCCAGTCCGCCTGCCCGGCGTTGGCGGCCACCATCGATCGGCGTCTCCGGGCCGAGGGACGGCCGCTTCGCGAGCGTCTCGATGGACGCGCGCGCGGACGCGGCCGCGGCCACGCGCTCCGGGCCCGCGCCGCTCGGGCGGCGCCGGCGGTAGGCGTCTCCGAAGTCTGAAACGGACGGCGTATGTTGCACTGCAACATTTAGGGAACTGAAGCGCTCGAGGAGGGAGCGCCGTAAGAAAGACTTTAAGAAAGTCCGTAAGATGCGTCGCTTAATCACGCGGGCAGGAGGTTCGCGACCCACGCGGGCAAACCGGCCTTCTTCGACCGGAGGAGCTGCTGCAGGGGGCCGAGCCACGCGTCGACGTTGCGCTCGGCGCCGTACCAGTCGTCCGTCGGGTCCGACGTGCCCGGCACGTTGATCGAGTGCGAGCAGGCGAGCGTGATTTGGAGGTCCGCGTCGTCGAGGTGCGCGGCGCTGAGCGGCACGACGCCGTCGCCGACGCCCGAGGAGTCGCCGCAGACGCGGCCGTAGCCGTCGGCGGCGACGGCCGAGTCGCCGCCGGCGACGGCGTCGGACGACACGGTGACGAGGACGCCCGGCGTCCGCGGCGCGTCGAAGACCGCCGCGACGACGCCGCGCGTCGCGCACTCGACGCCCGGCGGCGGCGGCCGGTGCGGCGACCCCAGGGTCACGACGCCGGCGACGCGCGCCGCGACGGCCGCGTCGAGGCAGGCCGCGCGCGCGAGCCAGCCGCCGGCGCTGTGGCCCACGAGGACGACGTCGCCGTCGACGCCGGCGAGCGTCGCCCGGACCGCGTCCGCGTACCAGGAAAAGGCCGGCGAGTCCGCGGCGGCGGTCTGGGAAATGAAGAAGTCGCCGTCGAAGATGCCCTTGGTCAGCACCTGGAGCCAGTCGCCGCGGGCCACGTCGACGACCTCGACGGCTAAGCCCCGCCGTTCTAAAGCGGCGACGAGGCCGCATTCCTCGTCCAAGCCCAGCGGTTCCGAGTAGTCGACCTTGTCGTTCCCGAAGCCCGGCAGCACGACGAAGGTCGGCGCGCCGGCGCCGAAGGTCACGCCCGGCGCCGGCGGCGCCGCGCCCGTCGCGCGGCCGGGCCAGAACGGCGGCTCCTTGATCCGCGTCGTCGCGCCGGGCCGGAGCAGCTGGCCGAGCGCGTCGCCGGCCGTCATGTCCCAGGTCTCGTCGTAGGACGAGATGCGCCCGCCGTCGCCGCCGAGCGTGTAGGTCGTCGTGCCGTTCAAGTCGAGCACGGGGCCCCAGGGCAGTCGGAGCGCGCCGAGCATGCGCCACTTGGCCCGAACGCGATCCGTGGCGCCGGGGACCAGCGCGAGGTCGAAGAGGTCGACGCGCCGCCGGCCCTCGGGCACGAGGCTCTCGATCCAGAAGTCGAGGTTCGCCAGATTCGCCTCGAAGGTCCGGAGGCCCGCGAAGCTCAGCGTCGGATCTGTGAAGACGCAGTCCTCGTCGTAGAGCTCGGGCGTGATCTTGCCGCTCCACAGGTACTCGTTGCCAAAGTCCACCGCGAGGCCCTCCTTCACCGCGGCGCCGCTCAGCGTGTCGAATTGGCGCGCGCGCGGCGCGAGGTCCGCCTCGCCGCGGCCGCCCTGGAGGTTGACGACCTTCGTGAGGGTAGAGATGATGTTTTTCGTCGTCGAGGACGTCCGCTGGTAGGCGCCGGTCTTCGGCGCGGCGAGGGCCTGGGCCGCTGCGGCGAGCAAGAGGAGGCGCATGGCGTGGAGGATAGGCATGCGGCCACGAGCCATTGCTGCGCTGGCAATTTATGGCGAGCCACTCGCCTTCATGATGCCGTTCTAAATCACATTCAAAGCTGTGGCAGCCCTGCCCGCACGCGAGTTCGTCGGCTGGGGCCGACCATCGCGCCATGTTTTCCATGCGCAGCGACTACAGCATCGGCGGCGGCCGCCGCGGCGGCTTCGACGAGGTCAAGGGCGTCGTCATGGCGGACTGGGACGACGAGCGCAAGGTCGCGGCGTACGTGCGCCTCCTGCTCGTCGAGGACGACGACGACGTCATGCTGGGCGGCGAGGCGGGCCGCCTCCTGAACCCCTACGAGCACCATTTGGGCCACTGCCACAGCGACGACCTCGAGTACCTCGCCGCGTCGCTGGGGCTGCGCGAGCTCGTCCGCGCGAATCCGCGCGCCGTGGAGATGGCGCGTCGCGCGTTCCAAAGACAACCGACGGCGCTGGACACGCTCCTCCGGCACCTCTGCGTCTTCCCCTTCATCGGCGAGGAGCCCCCCGAGGACTGGCCCGAGTTCTACTGCAAGCTCTTCCAGCGCGAGGCCGCGCCGACGCCGACGCAGCGCGGCGACGCCTACCTGGCGCTCATGCTCTGCGGCGCCGTGCCCCTCCTCGAAGAGCTCATGTGCAACAACGGTGGCGTCCACGGCCCCCGCTCATTCACGAAGTTCGTCATGTCGCGGCCCGAGGCCGCGCACCTCGAGACGCGAATCGAGATGCTGAAGAAGTACCCTGTCGACGCCTGCGATCGGACGAAGCAACTCGGGCGGCGCGCGTTCCGCATCTGGGAAACCATCGTATTCTGTGATGAACTCCAAGATGAGAGACGGGAAAGGTGCGACGCCTGCGGCAAGGATGGCACGATCGAGACGCTCAAAAAGTGCGAGCGGTGCCGCGGCGTTTATTATTGCAGCCGGGACTGCCAGAGGCGCGGCTGGAAGGCCTTCCACCGGACGGTGTGCAAGGCCCCCGGCGACGCCGCGCCCGTCGACGCCGCGCCGAAGCCCCGGGTCGTCACGCCCGACAAGCCCAGGCGCCACGCGGCCGTCGAGGCGTGGGCCGACGCGGCGAAGGCGCCCGACGCCGCGCGCTACACCTACGTCTTCCAGGCGTCGCACACGCTCATGGAGATGAGCATGGACGATACCGACGACTACGCGGCGCTGCGCGAGCTGGCGCCGGCGGACGCGGCGAGCCTCCTCGACACCTGCGCGCGCGTCTTCAAAGGCGCAAAGGCCGCGGCGGACGCCGCGATGACCTCGTCGTCCCCCGCGACGCGCCTGCGGAAGCTGCGCGGCGCCGTCACGACGGTGGCGCTCATCGCGGCCCGCGTCTTCGCGCGCGAGCCGTCGAAGCAGGCCGACGTCGTCGCGCGGCTCGCGCCGGGCACGCTCGCCGGAATTATGGCGGCGACGCGCGGCGACGCCATCGTGCCCAAGGGCGACGCCGAGGCGGCCGCGGCGGCGCTCGACGCGCACCGCGAAGCGATCGGGAACGTGGGTTCCCCGCAGATGCACTGCTTCTCGAAAAGCGCCACGATTCCCTTCCTCGACCGGTGGGTCGCGGGACCCGACGCGCCGGACCAGGCGGATCCGCCGTCGGAGAACGCGTGGCGCTGCATCCTGCATCTATTGCCCTTCGACTGGCACGCCGACGTCGTCCACGGTGACGCCGACTTTTCGACGCTCGGCGCCGCCGACGCGCGCGCGGCGGCCGCGTGCCGCGACGCCGTCGTCGCCGCCGGCGCCGCGGCGGCGGTGACAGACTTCCTCGGGAAACTGGCGAATGCCACGGACCGCGACCCGTGCTGCACGCTCGAGAGCGCCATGATCGCCTTCGCCGCCGAGGACGCGGAGCAGGGGGCGCTCGTCGCGGAGCTCGCGACCGTGCCGAACGGCCGCGGCGGCGCGGCGCGGGCCGGCGAGCTCGTCGGGCGCATCATGGAGCACGAGAACTTCGAGCAGACCGTCGAGGCCATTTGTACGCGCGGCGGCGCGGCCCTCGAGGTCGTCGCCGCGCTCGGCCGCGCGGCGTTCGACGACGACCAGAAGCGCGATATCTCGACGGCGATCGCGAAACTCCTGGCGCAGCAGGAAAAGATTCGCAAGATCCAGGGCCTCGGCAGCGTCCAGGAGCTCGATTTCGTAGAAAAAATCGACGAGGGCTCGGGCTACCTCGGCACGTGCTACGAGCAGGTCACGCGGTTCGGGAGCCCGTTCACCATCGGCCTCGCCGTCGCGGCGTCGACGCTCGCGGTCCCGGAGATGATCGGCCTCTCCGGCGCCTGCATGAAGCAGTGCGTCAAGTCCGCGCTCGAACAGGAGGGCGACGACGCGGCCGAATACGGTGCGCACTGGGCCAGCAAGGCCCTCGTCCTGGGCCGCGGCCACGGTCCCGTGTGCTCCAAATACGAGAGCATCCTGCGGATGCGGACCGAGTTCTTCGAGGGCATGGGCCTCGCGGACCTCGCCCGGCGCGACGCGGCCCTCGGGAACGGAATGTTGGAGCGAAGGGGCATGGACCGCGACGCGACCTTCCTCGACGGTAGCGGCGCGCCCCGCGTGTCGCCCGCGAAGATGCGCGTGGACATCGGCGCTTCCATGATGGCCGAGTACGAGAAGCACCAGATCCAGAAACGGCAGGCCCGGACGGCGATGGACCCCCGGGCCCGGGAGGCGCTCGAGGCCAAGGCCAAGGACAGCTTCGCCGTCGGCGTCGTTCCCGCGCCCGCGCCCGGCGGGAAGAAGAACCGGAAGAAGAAGGGCGGCAAGCGGAAGTAACTAGCCATAACGGACGCCCAGACCCCTTAGGAGACTAGCCGAGCAGCCAGCCCGGGACGTCGTAGTCCTCGAAGCCCGAGAGCGTGTTGAGGCCGAAGACCACAAAGGCGAACTTGACGAAGATGACGAAGGCGAGCCAGCACGCCGTCGCCGGGTAGACGACGAGGTGGAGCGGGAAGCCCGGCAGCCGGAGGTCGCCCGCGGCGTGGTTCGCCGCGAGCGCCAGGAGCGGCGACGCGGAGCCCGGGATGAAGCACATCATCGCGTACAACTTCAACACGGCGCGCATCGACGCCGTCCGCGCGTGGGGCGTGTCCCCCAGCGGGAAGTTGCACAAATTCGCGGCGAGCTTCGAGTCGCGCAAAACGCGGTACGCCTGGAACGCCGACTCCGTCGCGACCTCGGCGAACAGCCACAGCAGGCACGTCGCCGCCGCGCCTAACGCGCCGCCGCGGTGCCAGAACGACGCCACCAGGGCGCCGTCGAGCCCGCCGCCGAGCCCCCGCAGGTCCAGCGCGACGACGTGCACCGCGCCGCCGCCCAAACCCAACGCGCCGAAGGCGATTTCCAGCCGCCGCCACGCGAGGAGCGTGAGCCCCGCGCGCGGGTCGTCGTCGCCGCAGCGCCGCTCGTGGACCCACCGCGGCGCGTCGAGGCACACGTCGCCGCCGCCGCCGTCCCAGTCGGAGCGCCGGAGCTCCTCGGCGCCCGCGACGTGGAATCCGACGGGCGCGCACGCGACCGCGCAGGCCACCGCGACGCACTTGAAGAGGTGGCACCGCAGGAGCGTCCGCAGGCCCCGCCGCGCGCGCCGCGGCCGCCGCCGGTCGTAGAAGTGGCACTTCCAGACCGCGGAGCACGCGAGCGACAGCGCGAACGCGTCGCCGAACGCCTTGGCGCCGAGGATCGCGGACAGCGCCGCGGGCCGCCGCGCGAGCGCGTCCGCGGGCCCCGCGAGCTCCGGCGCCGCGAAGGCCAGGGCCAGCGCGAAGCCGCTCAGGTCCAGCGCCACCTGGGCGACGCCGCAGGTCAGCGGCGCGAGCGGCAGCAGCGACACCGCCGCGACCTGCGCGAGCACGCGGCAGCGCTTGCTCGCGGCCCGGAGCCGCCGCGCGGCGCGGGGCCCCGCCACACGCAGCAGCGCGGCCGCCGCGACCTCGACGGGCCGCCAGGCGTCGCCGTCGCCGGGGAAGTCGCCCGTCGCCGGCCGCCGCGGCGCGGGCCGCGACCCGAAGTTGTTCGAGTCCTCCGTCGCCCTTTGCGCGAGCCGGCCGCCCGCGGCCTCGCACCAGACCGGCGCGTCCCAGGCCGCGACCTCCAAGGCTAGGTGCCGGGGCCGCGGCGCGTCCGCGGGCGCCTGGGCCCGGCTGTGGACCTCGACGATGGGCACGAGGTCCACGTCGCGCGGGATGGGGCGGCCCCAGCCGACGTCGAAGCGCGGGCCCGCGACGCCGAGATCGTCGTCCCGCGCCGCGCGCGCCGCGTCGTCGTCGGGTTGCGCGGCCCCGGCGTTCGCCGGCGGCGCGGCCGCGCCGGGCCGGAGGTCGGCGCGGCCGCCCGCGGAGAACGCGAGGCGCCGCCCGTTGCGGTAGAAGTGGGCGCTGCCGCCGACGACGCGCACGCCCAGCACGTCGCCCGTCTCCACGACGTCGTCCGTCGTCGCGTGCTGCCGCGCGCGGTCGCCGTGCGCCGCGGCCATGGCCCGGTCGTAGGCCGGGAAGCCGTGCACAAAGCGCGCGCGCCGCAGGTCCAGGAGCCAGCACTCGTCGGAGCGGATGGCCTGGCTCGCCGACCGGCCCCGCGCCCAGCGCCGCGTCGCGACGCCGACGTAGATGGACGACAGGGGCGGCCCGGATTCGAGGACGCGGACCTGGAAGCAGAGCCGCTCGGAAGCCGCGGGCGGCGCGAGCCGCGGCCGCACGTTTCGGTCGTCGGCCGGGCCCGGGTGGATGGCCCGGGCCGCGGCCCGCGCCGCGACGACCAGGCGCCCCTCGGCCGCGTCGTCGCCGCGGGGGCGCTTCCGGGGCCCGCGAGGCGAGTCCGTGCGGAGGCACGGCTCGACGCGGCCCGACACGCGGTAGCGGCCGGGCTCGCGCACGACGAGCTTCGAGCCGTGCTCGCTGAAGACCGCCGCGACGCTCCCGCGCGCCCGGTCGCCGGAAACGTCGCCGGGAGGCGCCGCGCGCTGCGCGACCCGCAGCACCTCGGCCGTGCCCCGGCGCCGCGCGGACCGGAGCCGCGGCGCGCCCCCGCCGACGGCGCGGAAGCTCTCGGCGTCGAAGGTGCAGACCTCCGTCGCCAGGCGCTCCACGGCGCCGACGCCGTCGCTCAGGCCCCAGCCCTGCCGGTCGACGACGGCCTCGGCGAACAACCGGACGGCGCAGCGCCAGAAGGCGCAGGTCTCGCCGAGGCGCGCGAGGTCCGGCGCGTCGAGGTACGAGAGGAGTTCTTGGCTGGCGCAATCGGGGACGCGGCTCAGCGGCATGGCGACGCGCTTGGCCGCGGGAGCGGCGGTCATGACGACCTCGTGCGAGGCGCCAGGGCGGCCGGGCTCCGCGAAGCTACAGCTGTATGCGGCGCCGCGTGTAAGGTACCTCGGCCTGGAGATCCGGCCGCACGACGCGCCAAGGCTGCGTCATCTCGGCAGCCCGTGGCAGACCGGGTCCAGAACCGCCCCGGCGGCAGTGCGCCAGAACGGCGGCGTTTCCCAGCGCGCGCGCGTCGCGCCGCGCGACGCGCGCGAGAGCGGCGGGTTGATGATAAACAGACAAGTTATGTAGGGTCCAAACGAGGAATGCGCAAGGCCGGACCGGGGACGAAAACAAAAAAGGCGTCAAACGAGCGACGCTGTGGGAGTCCGGTGGGGCATGTGGGTGAGTCGAGGCATTGCAACTCTCTGGAACGGGCGCGGTCGCGCGCGCCTGCCGCTCGGCCGGCCGCCTCACCGCACCGCGGTGCTGCTGCGCGTCGTCTGGAAGCCCCCGCGGTGCTGCTGCGGGTCCTCGAAGTACGGCTGGATCCGGCGCTTGTCGTTTTCGGGCGGGCTGAGCGTGTCGTAGAAGCCCCAGGTCTCCTCGACCTCCTCGACGAGGCGGGCGCCGCTCCGACTCCGCTTCATCCGCGGCCCTTCGAGCAGCTCCGGCTTCGGGTGGTCCATCCAGCGACCGACTGACCCCGTGTTGCCGCTCCCGCAACGAGTTGCCGCTCCAATGTGGGAGATGTCGTCGTATAAAAACGGCACGATGAGCTGCCCTGCGTTGTTCATCTTTTCGTTGTTGCACGGCAGCATCCACAAGTCATCGAGTCCTCGACACCGACAGCCTGGGCCGCCTCGTCGTGCTTCCGCGGCGCGCGCAACCCCCCCCAGACAAGCGACGAGACGCGCATCTCGATTCCCGCGCCTCTCACGATGGCGGCGACGTCGACGGCGAATCCCGTGCGCCTCGACGACTCCAAGGGCCGCTACGGGTCCCGCCAGGCCTACGCCCCCGTCGGCGGCTGCGACGACAACGACGAGGCCATCTCGAACCTGGAGCTCGGGGGCGTCGAGGGCGAGAACGCCGACGCGGCCGTGCACAAGGCCCTGCGGCTCGGCTTCATCCGGAAGGTCTACGGGATCCTCACCGTGCAGCTCGCGCTCACCGCGGCGGTCGCGTCGGCGCTGACGCTCGTCGACAGCGCGCGCGACTTCGTGCTGGGCACGCCGTCCCTGCTCTGGGTGGGCATGTTCGCGAGCGTCGGCGTGCTCGTGGCGCTCATGCTGTACAAGGACCGGCACCCGCTCAACGCGCAGCTGCTCCTGGCGGGA